AGAATGACAAAGACCTGCTTTCAAATGCTAATTTTGCACAAATGCAAATTTTGTGGTTGCTGAAAACCCCTGATATTCTATGCTTTTTCTACCTAACAAAATAAAATGACAAGAAATTGAAACATTTGTGATAGTTATTAATTCCAACCCCATTTCAAAAAAGTCTTATTCGTGAAGTACTCAACATATATTAGCTGTTTCTTGGAAAGAATGTTCTGATATCTATTTCTGTCCAATGGTTAGTATGTTTCCACTTTAAGAAGAATAAATGTGTTGAATCTGCAGTTCCACCAATTACTCCAACTTCAGTAGATGGTGCTGGTTGAAGAAAGTGAATCCTGGATCATAACAGTAAATAAAAGCAAAAGCAGGTAACTGGAATGTCAGTATCAACGGTAACTATCAGTTTGTAACTAAATGCCCACACTCAACTATATTTCCAAACTCTGGGCTGTTTTAGTTGTGCAACTGCAGAAGTTGTCTTTGATAAATCGTTATATATATATATATATATATATATATATATATATATATATCTCCTACTTTCCTGCCAAAAGTAGGATACGTATTTCATTGTGCAAACTAATTTGTACTGGGGGTGGGTTCTGATTCTGCCCTAAGCCAGTCTCTAAACCGTCCTTTGCTGCTAGCTATTCTTTTTCACAAGAAAGAAGCTCAGAATACCCAAATAAGGCAAAATGTTTCAAGCATTTTTGGAAATGTTACATTGCTCTCACAAAATCTGCAGGTGCTGGTGTGTAAACAAGCAAAACTAAACCCAGCTGCTACTACCACTTTGAATTATAATTATGTTTCAGATTATAATCCCTAAATAAATAAATAGAGATGAGGGCCTCTTTAAATGTACTTACCAAAGCTGGGATGTTTTGATGCATACTCAAACACATAACCAAAGTGATGCATCTCATATTCTCAACCCTTACTTTAACACTGCTACTATTACAGAGTAGCAATAATAAAATCATCATATCCTTTTGTAATAGCATTAGAAATAGTAGAAATGGTTCTAGACTTTAAAGTAACCATGTCCGTTTTTACAGACTAGAACATGGGGGCCAGGGGGCCAGATCCGGCATTTTTACATGTGGTGTTTTTACATGGTGTTTTTACATGAGTAGAATGTGTGCTTTTATTTAAAATGCATCTCTGGATTCTTTGTGGGGCATAGGAATTCGTTCATCCCCCCCCAAATATAGTCCGCCCCCCCACAAGGTCTGAGGGAAAGTGAACCAGCCCCCTGCTGAAAAAGTCTGCTGACCCCTGGACTAGAACATGCTCAGACTCACTCTAAGGCATTAAGGAATAAAAATACCCCCAGAAAGTTATGTAAAGTTGGAAAACAATAAAAATGACAAGTAACTACTTTGATGAAGTGTGTGTGTGAGGGGGGTGGGGGGGTAGAGAGAGAACAAAAGCAGGTTGTAATGGAAGTTTTAGGGACCCGGGTGGCGCTGTGGGTAAAAGCCTCAGCGCCTAGGACTTGCCGATCAAAAGGTCGGCGGTTCGAATCCCCGCGGCGGGGTGCGCTCCCGTCGTTCGGTCCCAGCGCCTGCCAACCTAGCAGTTCGAAAGCACCCCCGGGTGCAAGTAGATAAATAGGGACCACTTACTAGCGGGAAGGTAAACGGCGTTCCGTGTGCTGCGCTGGCTCGCCAGATGCAGCTTGTCACGCTGGCCACGTGACCCGGAAGTGTCTGCGGACAGCGCTGGCTCCCAGCCTCTAGAGTGAGATGAGCGCACAACCCTAGAGTCTGTCAAGACTGGCCCATACGGGCAGGGGTACCTTTACCTTTACTTATGGAAGTTTTAGCAGCAGTAATAGCAAACATAATTACAATAGGAATTAGGAATGAAGAGAAATGACCATACTTTACCATCCTACATACATGGACATATATAACTGAAGGCTGCAGATGTAGCTGACAGTTAAACTCAGAGCATAAGAAGTAGCCATATGAATATAATGTTTACTTTATTTTTTTAATCCCAGTAACCTACATATTGTGTGCATGTAAATGAACACATGGTGGTACATTTCCTCTGAAGCTTTATGCATATCTACTTGGGTGGTTGAAGTAATTCAAAGTTTGCCTAAGGCATGTTGTTATCTAGGAGGAATGTCACGCTTGGTAGGTGTTTTTATTTATAGTTTGTACACTATTTGAAGAACATCAAATGCTTCTCTAATCGCTGCCTTTCTTGTACAGTGGTACCTCGGGTTAAGTACTTAATTCATTCCGGAGGTCTGTTCTTAACCTGAAACTGTTCTTAACCTGAAGCACCACTTGAGCTAATGGGGCCACCTGCTGCCGCTGCGCTGCCAGAGCACGATTTCTGTTCTTATCCTGAAGCAAAGTTCTTAACCTGAAGCACTATTTCTGGGTTAGCGGAGTGTGTAACCTGAAGCGTATGTAACCCAAGGTACCACTGTACATGAGAATTGTGTTGCAGTACATGATGGGTGTGAACTATTCGGTTCATCTTGGAAATAATGCTCAAGTGAGAGTAGCATGACCAAGAGCTAGAAAGACCATAAATAAAGAAGGTATCTGGCTTCTTAAACGAGCATTTAGCTGCAGCTTCAAAAGTGTGGCATTGAAGAAAGCCAGAAACAAAGGAAAACATTCTGCATTTCTTAGATCTCTTGCCATAAGGACGTTTGTTACCGTAATTACATAAAAATCAATAAGCTTTAGTAAGATACCTCGTGGGAGTGGCAAAGTACTAGCTTGCAAGCAGAAGGTCCCAGGTTCAATCCTTGGCAACACTTGTTTTATTTAAGGATCAGCTACTTTGTAGAAGGTGATGTGAAAGACCTGTACCTGAAACCAGCTGTTGCCAGTGAGCAGCAGCAGCAGTAGCACTGGACTAGATGAATAAATTGCTATGGTACATGGAAAGTGGGTTACTGGCAAAACTCATAAATAGCAGTGGCAACTAAATTATTTCATGACTATTGCTAGTCCAATTTTGATGCTATTCTGCTAATGATAGAATTACTTCTGTTTGTATTTTGTTGAAGCATTTACAACTCCCAGCCTTAATCAGCATTGTGGCCGATGCTGTTATCAACCAGGATTTAAGATACTGCTGTCCAACTTATCTTTTCACATTACTCAAGGGTGCCTTTCCAGTCTCAAATTTACCCATTCCAGAAAGGTTTAATATCATGGTTATTTACTTAGTTCCAAAGAGGTTTACTATCACTACAATCCGCTACAGATGATTTACAGCACTAACAGGCTTGGGAAACTGAACTGTAATAGTAACGGCTAAGTACTGCCAGTAGATGGTGCTGTGGTTACATAAATCTCTTATAGCGAGACACTAGGGTTGGAATGTTTCATGTTGTTTTTTGGTCTGTGGCTTTAGGAATGTGAGTTCTGCCCGCGATAATCCTCTGGGTTCAACCTGAACTGTGGCCCAGGAAATCCTTCAGAAATAACCTTGGAAGCTACCCTGACCATTTTCTTTTGGAACATGTTCCTTCTCTCTATAAATCTGTTTGTTGTGCAATGTGAAAGCAGTGCAGTTGTTTCCTCTGATTAATTGCAGCAAAAAATAAAAAAAAACCAACCCAAAAAACCCTTGATGATCAATCCAAGCTCTGACATGTTTCAGCTTCACTTGAAACATGTATAAGGACTGGAGACCTTGGAGTTGCCTCAACAGCCCTGAGTCTTCACTTGAAAGCATTTATTATGACTTTATGATGTTTATTAGGTTGGACATATTTGGGGCAATTTTGGCTCAGAGTCCTGGCTTGGTGGAGAATGACAAATTACCTGCTGTTTAGCAGTTTTAAATCCATCTGATTCTAAAGATGGAAACTGAGTAAATAACAAGGCTCCCCCCTGTGCCAAGTTCACTGGTTTTATCTAAAAACACCAATCAGGAACTTTTTGTGTGATAATGTTTATTTTATTTTCACATGCTGCCCCTGGAGAGAACAGTGATACATTTTTTTACCAGTCCGGAATGTGATAAACCATGGCAAACAAGGAAAGAATATGACAACCAGATAAACCAAGCCAAAATGAAAACTGTAGGTGGCACAAGAAGGGGGCAAGCCCCCAACCCCAAGTAGTTTGCACCCCAATGCTGTACTATGTGGTTGCAGAAAGGCACTTTTCACATACCAGTTCTAACCGAAACTGGAGATTTACAATAAGGCTGCAGTCCTAAGCGTGCTTAGTAGTTAACCCCAATGAAACCAAGAGGACTGACTTCACAGAAAATTTGTTTAGAATAGGAGCGTTAATATGAAATATACCATCATTCATAAATAGATTGGGTACGACAAATCTTGCTGCCTCCACAACCCTCCCGCGGAAATGCATTGTGCCTCGCCAAAAAGAAAAATGGTTATGGTGCCACCAGGATGAAGATGAAGGTTGACATTCTCAATGTTAAAAAAAATAACGGAGTAAAAAACAATGCCCATACACAATATATATATTGTTATATATATATATAACATATAAAAATAACTCTGTAGTTAAAAAGAATACAAGGACAGGAGACAATTCTTTAAATACGGCGCATTCCTTTCATGCAAACATCCACCCAGCCACTCATTCCTGCTCAGCCGCTCGCGCCCACCGAGTCCATTGCACTTCGCCTGGCCAGGCCGTTCAAGTATAAGACAGCAGCCCCTGCCCAGAGAGGGGCTTGCGGGTCGCCAATTCCCTGCCGTGTGAAGGGGGGAGAGGAGGATAAGCGGGGAGACAGTCTATGGGGAGCAGAAGGGAAGAGCCCGTCACCACCGAAAGCTCACCACCACACAAGGGAGGGGAAAGGTCCTTTTTTGCACAGTTTCATCATTCCACTTCCGTCCCTCCAGGCGCAGCACGGGCTCAGCCGCCGCCCGCCTTCCCTCCCGCGGTAGCCTCCGGATCCCTGAAGGTGGGCGAGCCCCCTTTCCCCGCCTGCCGAGCGCCGAAGGCTCCCCTCGGGCAACAGGTCTCGGCCCTCGCTTGCTAGGGCTGCTGGGCCAGGGCCCCAGCCGAGCCGCCTTCCCGCAGCAAGGCCAGCAGGCGGGACGCTGTCCGTGTGCTTCTCCCGCTGAAGGAGGAGGCGGCGGCGGCGGCGGTGTTCAGCAGCGAGCGCCTCCTGCGGCGGCCGTAGCCCTGCGGGCCGAATTTCTCGGGAGGGGCGGAGACGTCCTTGTCCTTGTCCATGTAGTGGTGAATGATGTGCACGAGGTTGTGCACCGTGCACGTCCCGAACCCGCACATCTCCCTCCAGTTCCGGATGTTGGGCGCCTGGTTGCTCTTCGCGCGAAGGCTGTTGCGGAGGAAGCAAGAAGAGAGAAGGCGGCGGGAGTCAGCGAGGTCAGGCGGGAAACCGCAGCCGCCTGGCTGGACGGGACTACAGCTCCCACCGTCCCTTACCCATTGGGGCTCATGGGAGCTGCAGCTCCACGGAAACAGTGGCAGGGGGAAGAGCAGCTTTGTCGCCTCAGAAGGGCAGCTAGCCCAGCCGGGGTTATTTCACAAGGACCGAGGCATTTTCCTCTTCCCTTTTTCCGCCCCCCACCACTACCACGTGGTTTGTTTCCAGTCCTTAAACCGCCGAGCGCAGCAAACGTATGATTAACATCGCGCTGCTGTCAGTCGCTTTGGGCCCCTTCCGAAGGGACGTCCCCCAGCGGGAACTCTGCGCGCCCTCCCCGCAGCCCAGCCTGCGCTCTCCCGCCAAAAGCGCCGCTCACTCTCCCCGCCCCCCAACAAGCTGCTTCCAGCCATCGCCTCAGCAGTAATAGCCCCATGAGGGAAGAATAATAATAGTCAGATAATTACCTGTCCAGGCTGCGCGTGGGCCTCTTCACTCCGGCAGCCGCCTGGGCCGCGGTGAGCGCCGGCATGTGCTCAGCTGCTGCTGCTTCTGCTGCTGCTGCCTGACTGCCTGCGGGACTCTTGCCTTCTCCGAGGGCCGCCGCCTGCGCCGCGGTGAGCGGTGGCACTGGCCCGTCCCGCCGGGCTCGCCAGCTGCTCCACCTGAGGAGAGGCAGGGGAGGCCGGTGAGAGAGGGAAGGAAGGAAGGGGGCGCTGAGGGGGAAGAAAGCCAGCCCGCCCGAGGGGACTCCTGCCTTCGGAGGGCAGGTTGCAGCGCAGGCGTCTCGGCGAGGGCACGGGGAGGAGGAGCACCGGGGGCGGAGCGCCTTGCGCCCTCCGCTCCAGCCGAAGCCTCCGCTCTGCGCTTCCCTCGGCGCCCTCGAAGATGTTGCCTCCCCCCGTGGGATAAGCTCCGACGACGGCTACTTACTTTCTCTTGAAGTCCGACGCGATGTCTAGCTTGGCAGCCTCCACCCCGAAGAAGGAGACGGAGCCCAGGTAGAGTAGGGCGAGGGAAACCACTTTCATCCTGGCCAGGGAGAGAAGAGGGGGTGTTAGCAGCCCTTTCCTCCTCCAAAGGGCGGCGGGGGTGGTGGCGAGACGCGCAACGACACACGCACCGTCTCTCTCTCTCTCTCTCTCGCCTTGCTCGGGGGGGCAACTAACTAGGGGTCCCCGGGAGGGGTGCTCCTTCCTTCTGCCTTCCCTCCGCCGCCCTGTCCCGGAGCACCGGGGACTCGTGACGCTCGCGTCCAGTATTTGCTCAGCCATTCATCACGGCAGGCTGACCCAGGGGGCCTCGTCTCCCGCGTGCACATTTGTCAAGCTTTCGATTTGCTCAGAAAGGTGAAGGCTAAGCTCCCCTTTTCCCAGGCTCCAGCGCGTCACGAACAACACCTTGATTCTCATGCCCTTCGATGCAGGCAGCGCTCTCTCAAGCCGGCTGCGCTCTCTCCCCCTCTCCCACCCCACACCGCGGGGCGCGGAGATCAACTCAAGCGCTACTCCTTTCACTCCGCGCCAGTCCCTCCAGTTTCCAAAGCGGGGCCGCTGACTTGTAACCCGAACTCCCCCCCCCCATGTGCTAAAGACGCAAAACTTTGCCAGCTCTGCTGTCGACCCCCTCCCCTCCTTGCGTGCTTCTTTCCCCATCCAGTTAACGAGCGAGGAAAAGCGCAGACCTGATAGCGAAGATAATCCACTGAAGTCCGGCTGTGCGCACACTGGATCCTTGCTTGACGGTAAATCCCCAAAATATAAAGGTATCCCAGTTCCTCCCAAGAGCTCCTCTGCTCCGAGCCCGTCCTGCGCGCCACTGAAGTTTCTACTGACTGTTCAGCGCTCAACTTTGCGCCCTTTTATAGAGCAGCGCCTGGGAGGTGGGGGGGCAGGGGGCGGGGCTAGGTATGACTTTCGGGTGCGGATTAGTCAGGCCGCGGGGGGCAGGCGACGCTTGGAAACGAGGCCACTTTGCACCGCTTCTCGGCGGAATCGCCTGGGGTCAGGCATGTCAACGGGCATACGCCGCCCCCCGAGTGACACCAGTTGTGCCCCCGGCGAAATCCAGCGGAGCTGCCGCGCTGCCCTGGCGCGGGTGCTGGGCCTTCAGCTTAGTCAGCCCGCTAGAGCGAACCAGCCAGGTCAAACTGGTCTCTCATTCTCTTTCCAGTAGGGGCTTCTGCAAAAAAAGAAAAGAAAAGAAAGCGCCCCTATGCAGGGCAGGAGCGCGACGGACTTCTCCCGTTGTTTGCCCTCCAGCACCCGGTTACCCAGATTTAGAGTACCTCTGCACATGGAGGTTCATGAAGCAATCTTGGCAGACCTATTCCCTGTCGATCCTCTCTCCCTCCCGAACTATGTTTATACTGCAAGCTGCAGTTTACAGCCAAGATCCACCAAAATATTGGTGGAAGTGGTTATAGTTACAGAATTGGCGGCGAGAAACGACCAAGCCAGTCGTGCCTTATCATCAAAGAAGCGCGATTAGTGAGCCAGCTAATCTTAACCCAGAGCTTTGGGTTGTCCTTAGTAATCATATTCGGAGGAAAGACCAACACGTCCAAACTGTAAAGGCTGGAATAAACTCCTGGCCAAATATTTATCAGTTGTTTGTTTGCTTTCAACTAGGAGAAAGCAAAGTTTGCTTTTTACCTGGGAGATACCTGAACAGTGGGAAGGATTATTATTGTGACTATTTTGCAATGGCTAGGGAGAAAGGGACGGACATGTAGCACTTTGTTTACGGGATATCAGCCGCGCCGATCTGATTCCTCCCTTACACAGGAGCTTTCTCTTCACCGCTGCTGCTCTCCTGCCCTGTGCGATCTTTCTCCAGCCGCAAAGCTTACGCTCCCTCGCACACGTAGCCTCCTGGCTTCTTGGAGCGGCTCGCCCAGACTGAACCAGTTGGATCTCTCTGCCGGGCGCCTGCAAATCAGCGCAAATCTCTGAGCAGGGTGGTTTTCTTTTCGTTTCCCCGCGCGGGAGTTTCCTTCGAGTGCCTTTACTGCCAAGAAATCTCAAAGACCTAAAAATAGATTTTCTAAAAAATCCCGGGGCATTTTCTTTTCCCGCAGGCCATTTCTGCGAAGAAGTGAGCGGCTGGAGCCAGCAGGTGTACGCGCGCACGGATAGATGCGCCGCGTTGTGCTGCCCTGCCATAGCAATCGTGGCACGCCATGGGTCTGGGAGAGGGGTGGGGATGGAGAGGATCGAGGCTTCCCTTCACTTGCTCGAATGACTCAGTCGCAAAAAGGTGATTCCTCCCTTGCCAGCAGCGCTCAGGGAGTTCCTTTGCCTCTCCTGCCTTTGCTTGGAAAGTCTGCGGAGGCGAACAGATGCGGTGCTCCAGAGCATGGCTTGCACATACCCATTAACGTCCAGCTACTTGTCTTAGCATCTTGTGCATATGTGACCTTTATTTCTTGATTGCTTTGCTATGCTGTGAGGTAACTGCAGCTTTTATTTCCAGATAGCAGCAAGCCTGCCTCTTGAGCAGCGAGCGAAGGGGGCTCTTCAGCCAAGGTAAGACTTGCGGCAGAGGAGTGCGGCGTACCTTTAGAGATAATTGGGAGCAACTTGGATAAAGTAAATGCCGCTGAAAGTAAGGACCCTTTCTAATCAACGTTAAGCACTTTATTCTTTTAAAAAAATACAGACCTAGCAGTTGCATTCTGGTACTCCAATATATCTTGTACATATGAAGCTGCATAATACTGAGTCAGCCTGTGAAGGCTGTAATCCTGTACCAATTTCCCTGGGAGCAAGTCCCACTGAGCCCAGTGGGACTTAACTTCTGGCTAGACCTGCATAGGATCGGTGTGGGGTGTTGTTTCTTTGGTGTAAGTATATGTATGCTTTTGTGTTACAGTACAGTGGTACCTCAGGTTAAGTACTTAATTCGTTTCGGAGGTTCGTTCTTAACCTGAAACTGTTCTTAACCTGAAGCACCACTTTAGCTAATGGGGCCTCCTGCTGCCGCCACACCGCCACAGCACGATTTTTGTTCTCATCCTGAAGCAAAGTTCTTAACCTGAAGCACTATTTCTGAGTTAGTGGAGTCTGTAACCTGAAGTGTATGTAACCTGAAGCATATGCAACCCAAGGTACCACTGTACTCTTAGAAGTTAACTCTGTTTGGCTTCATGAAGATTGATTACCGTATCTATTTTGTATCATTTATACTCTGGGGCCAATATAGTGCCAACAGTAGTTATGTATCTCTGATAACCACCACTTGACTAGACTTTGAGAAACACAAAATGAAGCTGAATAATGAAGCGACAACCAACATATACAAAAGGGTGATTTCTAGTTGGGTAATTCCTCGATTTCTACAACAAAATTACAATGCTATCCTTTCTGTGTGACAATGCAAATGTTTAAGGAAATGGTTATTGCTTCTCTTAACTTCCAGTAAGCTGAAGCTCTGGGAATATCAGAGGCTGTAGCCAAGTGGGTGTGGACTTAGTCCGCAATCGGGATGGGAGATTCATGTAAGAAGAGCAGGATATGCATACAATAAATAAATACTGTTTGAAAAGAGCTTCCATCTAAGACAACATGTTTCTCTAAATTTAGGAAAGTACCTATAAATTTCTGGATCAAAGGGAAATAGCAGCATCTGAGCTGTTCCAAGAAACAGTTCTGGAAGAGTTCTAGATGGACTGACGATATGTGATAAATCATTCATTGTTGATATTTTCAACACACCCAGCAATGCCAGTTCATGAGTAGGTGCAGATAAAAGGCCACTTCTCAGCAGCATGAAATTTGGAAGTGTACTCATTTTTCAATAACACCTCTGCTCTCTTCCTACCCATATTTTCATTTTTCCATCTAAAGAAGGTTTATCTATGATGCAATGGATGCAATTACTTCTCTGCCCTCTGTTTTTTTTGCCTTACTTTGTTTCTGCTTTTTCTTTTGTACCATATTGCATTGCAACACTGGAAATTTCAATAAAAACTACTACAAAAAAAAAGTTTGTCCTTGATTATTAGGATAGTCTGCTGTGTGTGAGTGGAGGACCCTCTTATAATGTTAATCCCCCAAATGCTAACACACAGCACTAATCCTTCATGTACTTATTAGCTATGAGGCCATCTTCGTCTGTTCAGCTTTGTGCAGGCTCTGGGTAGATGAAGGCAACTGCTAAGGTACTTGTGGTCCTAAAGCATTTTAAGTCACCATAGTTCACTTCAGTGCAAGCATTTTTAATTGTGCCCAGAAACAGACTAAGAGCCAGTTGAGCAATCTCAAAAGTGGCAGTCTAATAAGTCAGTAATTCCAAATCAACTGCATTTTTAACTAATGGCAACTTCCAAACAATCTTCAAAGGCAGCTGCAATAATACATTGCAATAATCCAAATGGCTTGCATCATAACTAAAAAAAATTGCAAACATTACTGTGTTAGTATATTATAAGCAGCATCATAAGATCAACCACAGACAACAACAGTGGAAATGTTTTCGAAGGACAGGCTATATATACATGCTTAGGTACATGTCGAGAACAATATTGCCATGGTGAATATTATGAAGCTTGGAATTTTTAAGACTGTGTCCCAGTGTCTTTCCTGTTTGTCCCTCAGTTACCCATATCTACTGTAAGACATGTGCAGGGTTGCCAGTGCTATTAACTGTAATTAAAGTTCATATGGCCTCTTTTAACTGAAAAGGTGTCATGCATCATTACTTTTTGCAAAGGGACAATGGTTCATATTACTTACTACACAACTGAGGAACCAAGTCACCTTTTCCAAATCTATGTTCTGCACCAAAAACCTGTGCAACTTTTGCAGTATGTATTCCGTCTCATTTCTCAAATAATTTGGAAATGTTTTGTAATGATGGCAGAGGGTGAAATCATGTGCTGTATCACAATATAATTCCCCCCACATCTCCTTCCTCAGCACACACGCCAAATCTGTTCTCAGTGGGTCTCCCCAATCCTCCAGAGCCGATGTGGAGGTTGGGCTGCAATGCACATGGGGGGAGAAGAGGAGGGGGAAGTTTTATTTCAAAAGCAGAAGTTCTTGTACAGATGGGGTGACTTGGTTGGACACAACCCCATGGATAGATAGGAAACAGGAGCAGGCCAAGGTAACCATGGCGGAAGGACAGCAATGTATGCAAGACATTGTATATTCATTCATTCAGCTTAAGTCCTATGGTTTCTGAAAATGCTCACATTTCACATTTTTATGTGTACAGAAACTTAACATGAGATGCCATTTTGTGAGGTAACAAAGGAATCATGGGTGGATCAACAGAACACAAGTCTGACACAGTGCAGATAGTTGGACTGCGTGCAATCAATGTGTATCCACATCAAAGTACCACATGTGGTATTTGTTATATGTAGCACACTTTTTACACACAGTATCTCCAGATTAAGCCCACAATTATCAGATAGTGACTATACTGAGATAAATCCTCAAAGAGGTAGGAGTGGTTTGAGGTTACCAGTCTTACCATCCAGTCTTGATTCTAACGAATTTATCTTGCTGATATGGTAGCCAGTTCCAGGCCCTTGATCTCTGATGCATGCATGGAACAGCTTCCCTCTCCTCCACGGAGGTCTCTGATCTCACACACTGATCTCTCCATTTGAGTGACAGTCCAAGGGCTAAACTACACATGATGCTGAGTTGTGTGTCAATAAGAGCTTCTTAACCCTTTCTCCTGTGGCAATTTTTCCACTAAAACTTGCTTCTGAAAGCTTTTCCTAGGTATACAGTGTGGAGATGTTTTGGTGCTCACTTGTGGTGGGGGCAAGGCAGTTCCCCTGCACTGGCAGTCTGCTGTGAATTGCAGCCCCCGTGGCTGTATTTTCTTTTTTTAAAAAATACACAGGAGGAATGCATGACTGGGCATCACAACTGCTTTCCCCTTAAAACGTTTATGTACCTAGATGCCTGAGACACCGAAGCTTGTGGGGTTTGTTGCTGTTTAGTCGTTTAGCCGTGTCCGACTCTTCGTGACCCCATGGACCAGAGCACGCCAGGCACTTCTGTCTTCCACTACCTCCCCCAGTCCGGTCAAACTCATGCTGGTAGCTTCGAGAACACTATCCAACCATCTCGTCCTCTGTCGTCCCCTTCTCCTTGTGACCTCCATCTTTCCCAACATCAGGGTCTTTTCCAGGGAGTCTTCTCTTCTCATGAGGTGGCCAAAGTATTGGAGCCTCAGCTTCACGATCTGTCCTTCCAGTGAGCACTCAGGGCTGATTTCCTTAAGAATGGATAGGTTTGATCTTCTTGTTGCCCATGGGACTCTCAAGAGTCTCCTCCAGCACCATAATTCAAAAGCATCAATTCTTCAGCGATCACATGCAAGTCAAGAGAAGCATAACTTAGACACAGCCTTCTTCAAAACTGCTAAGGACCTGTTCAAGGGGAAAGCAATCCATGGCTCAGCCTCAAGGAGAAGACTTTGATTCAGCCTTTGAGGCCAGAGACATTTTGAATGAATAGCCCAAAGCCTCTTCTCCACCAGTGTGTTCCAATAAATTATGTGAAAGGAGACTGCCCACCACCTTGTTTCATTGTAAGCCTCTGAGTAAAAAGACAGAAGGCATATCAGGAAAGCAAGACTTTCAGTTCTGCCCTTTAAGGGATTCTGCCAGCTCACAACTGCAAAATGGCGCTTGGGCACTCAGCAGGTGCCTCCACTATTTAAAGCTAATTTTGGCTCTGACCTTCATTAGAGTAATGCCTGTTGGCTCTGGGAGCTCTCCCAGGTCCTGCTGAACTTGACTCTGACTTGTCCCTTTCTATCTACTTATTGCTTTCTGTCACCTCTTGCTCTAAACTCTAGAGCTAATACGCTGCTTCTCTGCAAACCAGCAGAATACCCCTGTAATCCACATTTTAAATATTTCACTTATACTATAAGTCTGAAAATGCTTTGTTTACATATGTCTTATGTCAACTTATTAGAAGGTATGATTATTGTGCCATGCTTTCTGTTGTAAGGCATGCACTAAACTGTTAATCATTGACTGACAAATAGTAGGTTCATGCCTGCAATTATAATTGGAATTCCTAACCAATGTCATTTCCATCTTGCCTGGTTTCAATTTCATCTACATTTGCAGGACACTGGCCAAAGAGCTACTTCTGGAGAGCAATCAGAAAAATAGTTTTGAAATTAACCCCTGCCCCAGACTGTGGGAA